CAAATTCATATTCCTCCTTGTTGCGAAGTGAAATGCTGGAAATAGTTGGAAAGCGTGATGTTCTTCGACAATGACTTTCATCTGCAGTTGCAATTGTATCCTTCAAAATTCGTTATTAAAGTTTATCAAATTTAAAAGATTACAGCTTTATTTACAAAATGGAATTAGCAAGACAACAGGTAATCTATTTTTATCGTAGTTTAATTGGATTAAATTTCTCTATATGCTAACAAATAAGCAATTCAAATTTATGAAATCACTATATTATTTGATTTGAAAAAAAAGAAAAAAAGGCAATTAACTGATTTATCGATTACATGCATTCTGTAACAGTAATTATATGCCCCGATTTTTTTCATATAATAATTGCGTTTACAGGTTTCTCCTAAAAATAAAAAGTAAAACTATCCATTTTAAATGCTTATTTTCTATTATTCAATCAAGCTAAATTCAATTCATATGTATATTGGCATATGATTTGTTATCTAGAAATTAAAAACAAAAGCATAGCATCATGCATAAATAGCTTCCGCAAAATATAACTTTATGCATAAACAGCTTCCGTAATATCCAACATTATGCGTATGAGTAAAATTCCGCATAATCCAACAAATGACTTTTTGTTGGATGAGATCATTTTACACTAACGCATGCATGAAATAGCACGCAAATAAAGCAATATGATTTGTTTTTTATGCGTGATGTGTAAACTTCGAAAACATTCAAAAGTAAACAATCATTTCGAAAACACAAATAAGAACTAACTTTTCAAACAATGTACAGTAGAAAGTGTTACTGCGAGACAAACAATGAAGACAACCGCATGCGACATCATTAAGTAGTAAATTGATAAAGATTATTGTAAAATTTAATTGAAATAATGATTGCAAATTTTCAAAAAAAAAAAAAAAAATCACTATTTGAAATAGTGCAATGATTTGAAGAAACGATCGAAAAGATTTCAGAGGTAATTAAAAGTAATAAATGAATTGAACTTCGACCTTCAACTGTTACTAGGAATATGGTATTATCGAGAAATACGACATACTGGTATTTTTTTAAAATTATTTTTGCAGTATTATAAAATATGCTTTTATTATAACCTCTACAGTTACGATCATATTTGATTGTTTATTCTGTTAGTATTGAATGAATATTATATATTATTGTATAGTATTCGGGAATAAAAACAATAGTTATTTTTATTCAGTCGTCTAAAAGCTATCGATGAAATGGTAATAACTTAAATAGTCTCTAAATCAGGATATTAGCGATCAATTTTGGGTAAAATAATCTGAAAGCGCTATGATAATAAGATCAATCTAACACTTAGCGATAACATAAAAAAAAGAAAAAAGGGCCGGATATTTGAAATTATCCCGCTTATCAGTCAATAGAATCAGCAAACATGATAGGAAATATCAATAAATAAACAAATCTCAATTTATAAATCATCAATGATTATCTCCCTGATAAATATAAAACTTGAAATACTTGAATATGAAACAAATATTATGATGAAAGTAACTTTTGTCCGAAATTATAATTATGATATTTATTCAAGCAAAAGCTCTAATCAGAAAATGTAAATTGAGTATAAAGTTTTCAATTCTATCATTTTACGTAATTAGAAAAAATTTGTCACAAATTAATTCATCCATTGTTTCTGTTTTCACGGATGCTAATAACACCAGCAGTGAGCAATGTAAAAAATAGTGCTGCCAATAAATTAAATTTAACAAATTTTGAGTGACTTTCTGAAAAAATAGCGAATCGAATTAATATTTTATGTAAGAACGGGATTTTTTATGTAAGAACATTAATTGATTAACGAATTATTGAAGGACCGATAATTAGCTGATCAATTAATCTATCTTTCAAGATTTCCATTTTTTCCGGTAAAATAACTTCAAAATTCTTATTTTAGATTTGAAAACCGTGAAACTTTAATTTAATTAATTTGTTTGTTGAGCATCAATGCGCTTACTTAAATAATATTTGTTTTTTTAGAAAATCTTTTCTACAATTCGATTTATTTCCTGCTTTTTTTCTTTTTTAAAAATCTTTTTACTTTGAGCAACATTTAACAATTTATATTAAGCGATAATATACTTACTAATAGCACTACTTTCTGATTTTTGATCGACCAGCGTTTTAATTTCATCCAGTAATTCATTTTTAGTTATATCGGATTCTTTCCCAAGAATCTATAACGATTATTTATATAATCATTCGTGTGAATAATTTGTTTTTGCTATTTATATGGCAATCAGTCAATTCTGATAATTTCCGGAATCAATTAATTTCATATTATTATTTAAAATATAATTATTTTGTCTTTTTCTGCAATTCAATATTGATGATCATCAGTTCAACATAAATTTTAACATCGTGCATTTGATAAGTAAGCAAAAGAATTGGTTAAATAATTCCATTAATTAATATTCAAAAAAATATACGTAATTTTTACATAAAAATTTCAAGTAAAAGAAACATTTTTGCAGAACATATTGGGCTTATCAAAATTACATGTCATTTTATTTATTTAAAAAAATGTCAATAAAAATTAGGTAATTTTTGAAAAGTATATCATAAGTAATAATTTATCACCGCATGGTACTGGTATTTTTGGATCGAATAATTTTGTTTTTTTGGTACTTTTTTGTAATTTTTTGATCAATTAATCAATCAAAATTGATCTTGATTAATTAATTAGTTGATAAAAAGATAAATATAAGTATGTAGTTTACGCATTTGCGTATTTCTGAAATGACAAAATAATTCAAGGAAAAAATACTAACGTATTTGCAAAGGATATCATAAGTGATAGCTTTATCACTGCATGGTACAGGTACCATATAGTCAGGAACAGCTGTAATATAAATTTATTAAATAAAATTTAATACTTCTTAGTTCTCTTTACCTAACAATTGTGTTTATCGTGTTAATATTTATTCGCAAGTATGTTTATCATTTTTAATATTAAAGTAAATTATTACACACATTATATATTTTTGTCTATTCTTTATCCCTTTCTTTTAACTTCAATTCTAATCCACTCTTCAAAATTTTTAAATTTAACAACTAAATTAAATTAACTAAATAACTTTTCATATCTCTATATTTCGTTTTTAATTTTAAAGCAAATTATTTTATAAATGTTTTACATGAGACAATTATGATGCTAGATCTATTTTACTTAATACTGCAATTTAAATTAATTATTTGCAAAGCAAAACATTTTAACAAAAATTTACACTGGTCAAAAATACTATACAAATAACAGTTTGAATTAATTATTTGAAAATTGGATTTACATTGAAAAAGCATAAAATGATAGCAATCCTCATCAGCAGGTTGTCCGGCAATTAAGTTTTCTAGTGATGGTCGCACAATTGAAATGCCATCTTCCCATTGGTACTTATTGTTTATATAATTTAAACCAATCATAAGTCCATGATTTCTCCTTTCAAATTGACGATGAACTGAAATTTAAAAAAGAAAAATTGATAACAACAATAATGAAATAGTCATATCTATGCTTTAAACCTATTAAGTTTCAGTTTTTAACCATTATTTTGTAGTTATGATAATAGAAATAAATTTCAATGGCATTTAAATCTTTAAGTCGAAATTAATTTCTCACTGTTTCTTTTTTGCCCTTTTATGTAATTTTTTTTTAAATTATTTGATTTCTTATCTTTTTGTTTTTTATTTTTAAATATATTTCATAATCGATATTTCAGTCTAAAATTTAATAAGGCAAAGTAAATTAAACAAACTGTTGTATAAATAATTTGAATAAGTAATGAGAAGTGAATTCATTAAAATATTTCGTGCTATGATGCGTTTGATTGCATTACGAGTAAACTTCATTTTACTCTCTCGAAAAGGATGAGATAACAAAATTGAAGTTTGATGACTATCAGTGAAATCATATTGAAATTATCTTTAAATCAAATTAACAATTCGATCAATAAACAATTAACCGGACACAATTTCTTCGTGCAATAATTGTAATAAATTTTTGTTTGGTACAGCAGCTGGTGAAAGTTGATTCCATCGTTCTGTTTCATGTTCATATTCATTTGAATATTGGTGACATGAATTATTAATGTCACTTACGTTATCCATCTCAAATTCAAATTCAACAGAAAAAGAAAAGCAAATGAAATGAATTAAAATGCTAATGAAATAAAGCTTAAGAATTTAAATAAAATAACTTTTAGACACTTATATTAAACAATCGTTTTGTTTATCGAATTTCAAAAATTTATTAACTAAGTAATTCATTTATTTTTAATTGATTCAAGGCTTTAATTTCTTCTCTAATTGTCAATCAAACTTTTTTTAAAAAAAAATTGTTGCATTTTTGCAAAAGATTTCATTTTTCCGCTTCCAATGCATTATTCATTTCAGTGGAAAAATAATTATATTTGTTTTGAAATTAATTTTACCAAATAATTATTGACAATATGCACGTAACATAAATACGTGTCATCGATTTTTACCGTTATTTCATTCCTTCGACAATTTTTTTGTTTTGCTATAATTTGAAATGCTTAAAAATACTTCACTTTCATTAAAAAATTTTGTGATTAGTTAGAAACATTCTCTTTTTGAATTAAAACAAAGGACGAAATCAAAAGAACGAAATTTACATTTTTGATCAGTTTCCTGAATTCCATCATCCTGAAATGCTCTCCAATCAGTCATCATTCAATTTTATTGTCACATCAAACTATTTCATCGGTTTATCCGGAATCAAATTCATGAACCTCTTTAAATTATTTGACTTATTAATGATTAAATTAAAATAAGTATAGAATAATTTGCAGTAACATTTATCCACTACTTGAATTTGATTTCGGGCAAAACGGCGAAATAGTTTGATTTGATAGTGTATTTTTCACCTACCGGATATTTACTTTACTTTTTCTCAGATCTTCTGGTGAATATTTAGAAATCAAGTTAAATGCATAAAAAATTATGGTAAAATTTTATACTTTACTGTATGAGCATATTTGATAAAATAATTTTTTTTTATAATCCATCGAATCTTTCCGATCACATTCATACCATTTTGTTCCATAACCATCTTTCGCATTTTTATCTGAAAATGAAATTTAAATTTATCTCATCTTTTAGCAAATCTTATTCTTTTGATTTGCAAATAATATCGGTGTGAGCGCCAAAAAAAAAAAAATTATCTAATTCGCATCACAATTAGTATTGTAAAATTTTGATTCTGAAACTTCAATTCTTTATTCGTATTCCGTTATGTAAAATAAATTTGAAAAATTTTACGAAGCTAAAATATTTATTTCATATTTTATTCGCTTACCAACTATGATTGAAAAACGAAGGCAATAATTTTCCACCAAATTATCTTCATCATCCAAATTATCGATTGGATTAAATTTCAAGAAACTTAAATCATTCGGTGCAGTACCATCTCTCCAACGAAAACCATCACCGCGCCGATAAGTAACACCGATCAGAACTTCCACTGATCCATTCGAGAATGCTGGTTTTTCTTGAAATGATTACTTTTCTGTTGAATTTTTTTATTTCAATATAAAATTATCGCTCTCAATCTTTTTTGAATTTACCCCAATTTAAGTTAATCACTTTACTTATACTTATTCCGGTTTAAGGTTATGTAATTTTAAGTAATAAAAATTCACCAAAAAATACGATTAAATATATTTAATAGTCTTTCCAAGATTTAATAAGTATCATAATTTTGAATAGGATAACAATTAATTGAAATAATAACATATCATAACTTAATAAAAATTGTTTGGTAAAAAAATGAATTCATAAGTAAAATTGTTACAATATTGGTACATTATTATTTTTTTGATTGAATTATATTATTGTAAAATATTTCAAATTCAAAAATGCAATGATAAATTGTATAAATATGCAAAATGGAAAGAAATAAATGGAAATATTAGTCTTTTCTTTTTTTTTGAGTTTCAAATTAATAAAACTGAAAAATGACGAAAAATCTTCTGACGTATGAGGAAACCTTTTTTTAAACTATCAAAAATCCAATAAAACATCCATTTGTCAAGAATTTTTGTTTCATAAACAGCAGAAGAATTTGTTTTATCAATGATTGAGCATTGATCATCTGTCCATATTGGCATCTAAGATATGTTGAAATATATTTCATGCAAATAATCGAATTAGTCCATTACAATCACTTTACTCAAATCATTAATCAACTATTGATTTGAATAAATTCCAAAGAAAGATTCGATAATTTTGAGAGCACTTATCCTAATCATTTATCTTTTTTTACTTATCATTTTCATTTTTTTATAAACCATAAATGATCTGCGGGAAGTTTTGATTAATTATAAATAACAAATAGACAACAAAGTGTTCCATGCTATACCTGTGATAATTCTATTACTGTATAACAAAGCTTATAGTAATTATTGTATAAGGTGAAGTTACCTTCGCATGGATTATCTGAAATCCGAAGTTGACGAATGATTTATTAACAAACAAACATCATTTTTGAATTTTAATTTGACTAAACTATTTTGTTTATTATTTCTATTTTTTATACCCGGTAGTATCAATTATTTTTATGAAATATTTCTCCACTCGCAAATCAGTATAATATTAATTAAGTAAGTAAACAAATACAACTATGCCTATAATATCCACTAGCTATATTAAGTGAATGTTGAAAATCCAGAAAATATTTTGGATAATTTAAAAATAAATTAGTTATATTTCATGCTAAATAAAAAAAAAAAACATTAAAAAAATTCTAACGCTTAAGATCAATTAATTTCCATATTTCTTGACTGATTCCTTTATGTGTTACCATGCAGAATGCGCAAATAATTGCAATAAACAATATCATTTCCAATATTAGCACAATGATTTATATAAAATTAGCAATGAAACGTTTCCTCAAGCTTATCCTACTTTTATGCGTGCAAAATTATTTTAATGTCATAAAAAATGTAAAAGACAAGAATTGTTTATTTTGAAATTTTTGAAAAAATTAAATATATGCAAAAAGTTTTTTTCCACATAAATTTGCTTAAATTCATCAGTTAAATCTCACTTTAATTCATTTAATTTTTTTCCAAAATTTTTAATACAAGCATATTCAAAAATTTAAATTTAATCGTACAACGGAATCTATTATAATTCGCATATCACTAATAAATATTTAGGTATTCTATTCCTTGTGAATATCATTTTTATCAGTTAATTTCTGCAAAGGTCTGTTTCAGTAAATTTCCTGTTCATATTTATCAAATTAATTAAATTATTTTTTCATTTTCATTCTTTTACATACATTTTTTGATTTGTTAATTGATTAAATGATATGCTAATAAAGTCATCTTCCAAAGGTAATGTTCTTTCAGGAACTATTTTTCAACAAATCTAATTAATTGCTTGATTACTTTCAGTATTTTTATTCTTTCACTTAAACGTTCTGGTTTGTTAAATGATTAAATCACTCTATCATTTAAATTATGATAAACTACTTAGCTTCCTCTGTTCAGCGATACTTATCTATCTTTTATCATATCTTTCAATCTGCCTTTTTTATCTTCCGCCCAAATATCACTGATCAAATTTTCTACTTCATTAATATATTAGCATTAGCATATGTAATATTATGCTTTGATACTGTTATCGAATTTATTTCATTCTTTAATTTTCTGTTAAAATTTAATAAAGAATTGATGAAAGTAAGTATAAAAGGTGAAAATTGATGACAATAAATGATTGAAAATGTGTCATTTATTTTGATATTTTATCAATATCATTCAATGAAATCATTTCACCACACAATATGTATTTCTTTAAATTTTATTAAAATAAGGTAAGCAATGCGCTGATCGTTGTCAGTATTTTATCAATAATCAATAATAGATTGATTAGATTTCCTGAAAGAAATAAATTATTCAACTGTGATTTTTTTAGTAATTCTGTTTATGCGTATATAAATTGATAATTTATTTCTTTAATAATTCCATTCACGTCATTCAATAATTCTATTTTTACATTTATGAATAAAATTAGTTCCTTTTTTACAATGCAAAATACATCCTCCAGAAACAATGTCCATTTAGGAATTATTTTTTAATGAAGTTAATTAATTATTTGATTACTTTTAACATTTTTGTCCTTTCACTTATATTGTTTAATTTACTTATATTTCTTAGACAAATACTCTTATTAATGTGGAATAATTAAACTAATCCATTATCATAAATGT